TTTTGATTATATTCCAAAGTGAGTACCAGGGATATTTCCTTCAAATATTCTTTCTGAGAGAAACTCTGATAAAAAATCTTGAAAATGAAGCCTTTAGATATTTTAAAGAAAAAGGGCACAAACATGCTTGATCAGTCTGCAAACAGTTAATGTGTAAACTAGAAGGAAAGTGGTTTTATTTCAAATGTAGCAATACAAAAGGTCAGTTAGGAAAAAAAGCATGTACCAGTAACCAAAAGCATTTGCTGGTATCAATCCACAATTTACAAAACAAGACAACGGTTTCAAAAATACTTTCACACACTAAGTGATACTGTTGGAACAATGGCTGTTACGAGGCCATTTACTGCAGGCACATTTCCAGGATGTTCTGGTTGTTATTACTACCATTTTTATCTCCTTTCTTTTTTCTCTCTCATTAGTTTTTTGCTTTCTTCTCTTCTTCTTTTATTCACTGGATTCCGAGGATCATAGATTTCAAATGTGTCCGAGTCCTGCATGCTTGCATCTTTCACTTTTCTGCTTTTATCTTCAAACTGAAGTACATGTGACATCCTAAAGAGGGGGAGAGACGGTTCGGTGAATTTTGGTAAGAGAGCTGAAGGCAGAAATTCTATACTTCACTTATCACTGGCAGAATGAGCCAAAAGGGTACAGAACACCAAATGGGGTGACTGTTTTCTGGGGTTTATACCACAGGGAGAGCAACTTTTCAGAAAACACTTAAATTTGAAAAACATGCCTGGAGTTGTTCTGCTGATTTGTATTTCCAGTAGCGAGTTCTTTGCTTCGGTCCTCATTTGACATTCCTCCCCTGGTGGGAGGTTGAGTTCTACCCAGAAGTATTCTTCCAATCATACGGAGAGAACACTTTCAATTGGCTTTCTTTGAAAAGCACACTCACTTAACCAGAGCAAGCCAGACTGCAGAACACAACACCAGACAATACACCAGTCCTATATGATTTTTTGTTTGTTTGTTTGATTTTCAGTACTTTCATGGGTCAAGAGTAAGGAATAAATTAAGAGAATTTAAAAGTGATGTGCATACGGTATTATGACTCTCTTTCCTGGGGAATTGCTAAGTTAAAAATACATTTTTTTTTTCACACAAAAAGAAAAACTTTTGGCATCACTCCATGGACTAATTTTCTCCTCCGACTGTTGATTACAACAAATCTAACCATCCTGCTTTCCTACTTTAGCAAATGCTTACTGGTCTTAAGGTATCAACATGTGCTTGAAACCTAAGTGGTCATAAGCTGGCTATCCTTAGCAACAGAGAATATGTAAGTGATTAGCTATGCTGCTAGTAGGAGGTGTCAGGAATAAGCAGGGAAGTAAATAAAACAGACTTCAGGGGAGTCTGCATTTGGAAAGAGAAAAGTTGAATTTTTATACAAAACAAAACAAAAAACAAAACAACTGTTAAGGTTTTTCCTACTTATTATTCCATTACACTAGCTAGTATAGTTATTTAAACAAAAATTATCTTTAATAGGTGTGTCCTATGTTCACTATCCTTTACCCCAACAGACAGCACTACATGTCTATAGGACTATCACTCTTTATGGACCTATTATAACTTTCAGATGGAGCTCAAGTATGACATTAATTTCTTTTGCCCTACAAAAGCAGAGATTTGGGTAGAGGAAGTAGCAGAGACCATCTACGCTATTTTCTCTGTAGTAACACAAATGACAAGTGACATTATTTGTGTGGCAAATTCCTATATACCTCGAATTTGAAGAATATTAAAAGGTTTGGGGGACACAATGCTACAAAAGTGACACTGTCCTTCCTAAGGATACAGGAGCGGCTGTTCCTCAGGCCCAACAAGCTGAAGCTAGCACCTTTTCCATCTGCTTCTTCACCTAAGAAAGTGTCTTCCAACGTAATAAGTGCGAGTGACACGTGGGTGACCTAGAACCTACTTTAATTTACAAATGAGGGAAATCACCTTCAGTTTTATACTTTACCATTATTTTATAAATTATTGTATCACATTTTATAACTGACCTCAGTAATTAAACATACCGCTCAAATGTGAAATCTGCTGACTTTTATATTCCCAATGCTTTAATAAACACCCTTATTTAGGAAATGCATCGAATAGTCATTGTATTTACATGGGATCTTAGTGTCTGATTTTCTTTTGCTTTCCATTTCCTACAGTGTTTCAGGATTAATTTCTGAGAGTAAAATAATCTCCCAGCTACTAGCAATTTCCAAGTCCTAGTAAAGGTTTATCATTCAGTAGCTGCAGTAATAAGTAACAACTAGAACCAGTTAGACAATTACAAGGGACACAACCAATTAATGATGATTTATGTAGGTCTAAAAGATGAATGACAACTTCCTTCAGTGCATACACCTTGGAATATTCTCATGTGTTTGAACGTTGGCCAAGCAGTGGTAGACTCACTTGGGTGAAATGCTTCTGAATTGCAATAGTCTCTTTTGAACACTGGTGCTTCTGGGGCTCTTGTCATCCTTTAAAGAATTAGTGACCCCCAAAACTATATAAAATTTGCAACCTACCTTGCTTGGAGAGGATGTGCCTAAGAGCACAGCTATTTTTTACTTAAGTAACACATTTAGCATTTTTTGTTTCAGACAGTGAGAGATGTTGTTTTCTTCAATACTTCTTACAACATATACTCTGTTTCCCACAAAGAACGCTCTAGAAATTTTAAGAGTATTACCACTGACAGGAAACAAGCTTAGAAGCATGGCAAGTTTATCCGTTAAAGGTTCACTGCTACACATCATGGGGAGCTTAGAGCCCTGTACTGCACTTCAGTAAGTTCTTAGCAGCTCTCTATGTGCTGAGAGGTTGTGTTGATGCCTAAGCCAGCACCAAGAAGAAACTGGAATCACTGGCCCTTTCACATACTTTTATTCAGTATGCTTATATTAATATTTTAAAAACTCTACTACTCTATTACCCTTAGTTACCCATTAATAGTTCTCTACATATACAGCCTCTGTTTTAATGACCCTATTCTCTGCTCAAAAATACAGACGTTTTTTGTAATACTCATTTCTAGAAGAAATTATCCATGTTTCAAAAATGACTTTACCAGACTTTGTTAATTAAAAACATAAAGAGGCACCTTCCTCCTTTTTATGCCATGAGAGAATCTTGCAACTATTGGATTTAGTTGGCTCTGGTATAAGAAATGAAATCTAGACATGTGAACAACAGCACAAAGTCTACAAGAAGAAACAAATTTTCTTACAAATTTGAAAACCCAGAAAGCTGTAAATTAAAGGAGCTGTCTGTTTCAACTGTTTGTTTCATACACCACTGCACTAAACAAGTCCAACATTTTGATTAATAACGAACGTAAGCCCAGAGGAGAGAAGGGGCTATCAGCTTACAAACTACTTCAGATTTAATATCATAATACTTAGCATGGCTGGTAACTCGGCAATATTATTTAACCTTCAATAGAAATAAAAGCATAATCAAAATGCTCCACCCATTTATCTTTCAACATGCTTCAGTCACTTCATTTTTAAAAGGAAAACAAAACAGTTATTATGATTTTCAGCATAATAAACTCCTGACCTATGTGCCTGCATAAATCACAGGCTGCATGAATTGAAAGCCTGCCCGCACCTCAGTCTCCTGTGAGGATTGGCGTGCAGACGGAGAACACAGGCTTAACTGGAGTAGAGCAGGGTCTGGTAGTTTAGTCTGTGTGTCCCAACGACTCAATACTATCCACTCTGCGGCTGGTCATACAATTGGCCCAGTAAGAGCGGTGAATTCTTTTGGAGTTAATTGCACACTAATCATTTACATATGAAAATTTTAGAACTTGTTCACTTGAAGGCAAAGACGAAATATTAGTTTTAACATAGGCTCACATTCTTTCACATTGACTTTATGTGTTATAAAAATATGGAGACTTACTATTTACATAGAGGTTGTGTTTTGCAGGAATATTTTTGGGGGGTGATGTGGGGCTGCACAAAATTATAAATGAAAGTAAAATGAACAACTGATTCTTCAGTAATCTGACACCCAATTTTTAAAGTTCTCACACAATTGTGTAATAGATTAAAATATGATAGTATTTAGGACCAATGGGGGATGCAAGATTTAAAATTCCAATATTAGTAATGCATTTCGGATAGAAATGAATGTAGATTATTTATGTTGGTATAATGTGAACAGCTTTTTTGTTCATAGGGAATTCTATAAACTACCCCTTCCCATGTCCAATTTACTCTAATTAAGAAACTTTTTTGGGAAACATTTATGATCTCTATTTTAGATTCTTCTGCAGCCGTACTATTTCTCACTCTCCACATTTTTCCAGAAGTTCTAAAATAATCTTCCTTATACATTTCTTTGGTAGCATGCCTTTGGTCAGGAGTGACTGGCTATTGGATTAGACAGAAGTACTTTAGTCTGACTGTTAAAACTTTCTAACGACTGGTTGCTTCCTATCTCATCAGCCTTATTTTATTTCCTTCATTAACTCTCACCGTTTTGTAATTGCTTGCTTGCTGAATTGTGAGCAGTCTGTGAGCTGAGATACTTTGAGGTTTGTGCAGTTGCACTCCCAGTGGTGATGATGTTGATTTGTGGTGAGAGTGAAGCCTTCAGACCCTTTGTAATGGCCAAGGCTGCGGCAGGTACTGGTAGGCTTGCTTAGCCAACACTTGACTGCCTTTTGTGGGCAGGAGCTACCTTGTATTTTAATGATAAACTTCTGAAAAGATCTACTAGACTCTGCAGACGACTCAAGTCCACCTCTTCATGACCTCTCACAGCTCAGCACATGTTGAGAGTTGCTTTTGCACTGCACTTACATCAGTGATTTTGAGTTTTTATTCTTTGATACTGCAGCGGGAGAACGCCTCCTGTTTTTTTCCCATATCCTACGGCATCTAAGTAGAACTGGAGTGAAAGTTTTTTTGTCTTTAAAGCAATGTTTCTCAAAGTGTACTTGTAGAGCCCTTGCATCGAATGGAGGCTGTGTGTTAAAATCACCTGAACAGCTTTAAAAAGAAAACACCCATGCAAGACTTTTACCTCCAGAAGTAGTGCAAAATGAAGGCCACAGAGCTAAATTTTAAGAACCTTTATACTTTTGGATTGATTGACTTCATTGTCAATTTTCTGGCCCCCTCAGAGATGGAGAATAGCTGGATTTTAATGACAAACTACTCACAAACTTGAAGAAGCTTAAATGGCCATTAAGTCTGTTATTTGAGTGGAATCATCTCAAGTGCATTACCCATTTTTTATACGTAATCTGAGTACAAGGCAAGGAGATAGACTCATTTATTCACTCAGCAAACACTAAGGGGCTTTTATGTGTAAGGCCAATGCTAGGTTTGATGACACAAAGCGAAGTAAGACTCAGGTCCTACTCCCCTGAAGTGAACTTCTAGGGAAGACACAGACACCGCCACGTGGCTAACACACTTGGGAACTGCTTACGAGGAGGAGACAACAATCAGAGCATCCACGGCACAGAGCTTTAACAAAAGCTTTCTCCTGCAGTCCCCACACTCACTGGACGGGGCAGGCAGGAG